TTTTTTTTTTTTTTAAGAGACGGGGTTTCACCATGTTGGTCAGTCTGGCTCGAACTCCCAACCTCAGGTGATCCACCCATCTCAGCTTCCCAAAGTGCTGGGATTACAAGCATGAGCCAGCACGCCTCGCCTTTTTTGTTTTGTTTTGTTTTGTTTTGTTTTGTTTTTGAGACAGAGTCTTGCTCTGTCGCCCAGGCTAGAGTGTGATCTTGGCTCATTGCAACCTTCACCTCCCAGGCTTAAGTGATTCTCCTGCCTCAGCCTCCAGAGTAGCTGGGACTACAGGCATGTGCCACCACACCAGGCTAATTTTTGTATTTTTAGTAGAGACAGGGTTTCATCATATTGGTCAGGCTGGTCTTGAACTCCTGACAACGTGATCTGCCTGCCTTAGCCTCCCAAAGTGCTGGGATTACAAGTGTGAGCCACCGAGTCTGGCCTTTTTTTTGTTTTGTTTTGGTTTGGTTTTAATTTTTTTTTAATAGAGATGGGCTTTCACCATGTTGGCCAGGTTGGTCTCGAACTCCTTACCTCAGGTGATCCACCCACCTAGGTCTACCGAAGTGCTGGGATTACATGTGTGAGCCTCCGCACCCCGCCTGTTTTGTTTTTAATAGAGACGGAGTCTTGCTGTGTCACCCAGGCTGGAGTGTAGTGGCATGATCGTAACCTACTGCAGCCTTGAACTTGTGGGCTCAAGTGATCCTCCCACCTCGGCCTCCCAAAGTGCTGGGATTACAGGCATAAACCACTGCACCTGGCCCAAGAAACGATTTCACACCTTGGTCATAATGCCAGCTCCTCCTTCCTAAACCTCCCTCTCAGCAGTCGACTTTTATTGTTCTTTCTTTCTTTTTGTGAGACAGGCTTTTGCTCTGTGCTCAGGCTGGAATGCAGTGGTGCAAACATGGCTCACTGAAGCCTTGACCTCCTGTGCTCCAGCAATCCTCCCACCCCAGCCTCCTGAGTAGCTGGGACCACAGGTGTGCATCCTCAATCCCAGCCCATGCTCAGCCCCACTCCCCACCCTGAGCTCCTTCATCTGCGGCCACGTTGGTCTTCTGTTCTCTAAGTTTCTTTCTGCTTCTGGGACCTTGCACTTGCTCTTCCCTCTGCTTGGAACTTTTCCCAACTTTTCTTTTTCTGTTTTTCTTTTGAGACAGGGTCTCGCTGTCACCCAGGTAGGAGTGCTGAGGTGTGGTCACGGCTCACTGCAGCGTCAATCTCCTGGCTCAAGCGATCCTTTCACCTCAGCCTCTCAAGTAGCTGGGACTACAAGCAAAGCCACCACACCCAGCTAAGTTTTAGTATTTTTTTGTAAGAAATAGGGTCTTGCTATGTTGCCCAAGCTGCTCTCAAATTCCTGGGCTCAAGAGATCCGCCCATGCTGGCCTCCCAGAGTGCTGGGATTACGGATGTGAGCCACAGCTTCCCACCTGTCCGCCCAGGCTTCCCAGCTTTTCTTAGTTTCTTCTTATCCTCTGGAGGCCTCAAGCTCAGTTTCCGTCTCTGCTCGTGCTTACCTAGTGTGGTCCTCAGCTCGAGCCCCTCCCAGCTGCCCTCCATCGAATCATCCTTATTTATTTATTTATTTATTTATTTATTGAGACGGAGTTTCGCTCTTGTTACCCAGGCTGGAGTGCAATAGCGCGATCTCGGCTCACCGCAACCTCCGCCTCCTGGATTCAGACAATTCTCCTGCCTCAGCCTCCTGAGTAGCTGGGATTACAGGCACGCACCACCATGCCCAGCTAATGTTTTGTATTTTTAGTAGAGACGGGGTTTCACCATGTTGACCAGGATGGTCTTGATCTCTTGACCTCGTGATCCACCCGCCTCGGCCTCCCAAAGTGCTGGGATTACAGGCTTGAGCCACTGCGCCCGGCTCATTTATTTATTTAACGCAGAATCTCTGTCACCTAGGCAGGAGTGCAGTGGCACCACCTCAGCTCATGCAACCTCCGCCTCCCAGGTTCAAATGATTTTTCTGCCTCAGCCTCCTGAGTAGCTGGGATTATAGGCATCCTCCACTACACCCGGCTAATTTTTGTATTTGTAGTAGACACAGGAGTTTCACCATGTTGGCCAGGGTGGTCTCGAACTCCTGACCTCAGGTGATCTGCTCGCCTCAGCCCCCCAAATTGCTGGGATTACAGGCGTGAGCCTCGGCACCCAGACTATCATCCTTATGATTTTCTTGCAGCATGTATTGCAGCCTGTCATTATTTGTTTATTTGTGTACTTGATTAACCTTGGCTGCTCTGTTCCCTTCTATGTCCCATGTCAAGTACAACATGTGGCCCATGGTAGATGCTCCATATATACCAGTTGAATAGATGCAGACATGAATGAATAAACGAACGAAGCACTCGCCTCCCACTGGGAAACTAATGCATCATTCCTCAACAAAGCACCTACCCTATACCAGGTCCACCCATTCTGCGGTAATATTTTCTACTTTCTAAGAGTGTTGTCCAGATTAACTGAGTTAATATAAATTAAACAGCTTGGAATGGAATCTTGGCCCATATCTCCCCACCCTCCCTCCCCTTGCACACACACACATACACACACAGACACACACATACACACACACAAAGAATCTTGGCTCATAAACATTAGCCATGACTACTATTGTCATTACGACTTGGTCCACAAATAGAAACAGGGCTAGGGATGGTCCTCAAAAGAGTAGCTATTTTCCCTCTAGAATACACTTCTTTCTCCTAGCAAACTCCTACACATCCTTCAAAACGCAGCTCAAGGCCAGGCGAGATGGATCACGTCTGTAATCCCAGCAACTTTGGGAGGCCAAGGCAGGTGGAGTGCTTGAGCCCAGGAGTTGGAGACCAGCCTGAGCAACACAGCAAAACCCCCAATGTGTGCAGCACATTGTATTTTTGTATTTTTCTATTAAAAATACAAAGAAAAAGAAAAAAAAAAAAAGCCGGGTGCAGTGGCTCACACCTGTAATCCCAGCACTTTGGGAGGCCAAAGTGGGTAGACCACCTGAAGTCGGGAGTTTGAGACCAGCCTGGCCAACATGGTGAAATCCCATCTCTACTAAAAATACAAAAATTAGCCAGGCATGGTGGCACATGCCTGTAGTCCCAGCTACTGGGGAGGGTGAAGCAGGGGAATCGCTTGAACCTGGGAGGCAGAGGTTACAGTGAGCCGAGATCACGCCATTGCACTCCAGCCTGGGCATCTCAGAGAAACTCTCATCTCAAAAAAAAAAAAAAAAAAAAAATTAGCCACATATGGTGGTACACGGCTGTAGTCCCAGCTATTTGGGAGGCTGAGGTGGAAGGAAGCCGAAGCTGCAGTGCGCTGAGATCACGCCACTGCACTCCAGCCTGGGTGACAGAGTGAGATCCTGTAAACAAAACAACAAAACAAAAACAGCTCAAGCATCTCCGAGTTTTTTCTAAGCCTTTATTGAGCACCACTGTGGGTCAGGCTCTGGCCTTGACTTTACAATTGCAGGAGGAGCAGAAACGGACTGCTGTCAGGGCACTCAGGATAACATGGGCGGAGAAAGCTCACTGATCACATCCACCTAGGAAGCAAGGGCATGCTGGAGAAAACCCTGGGATCAACACGCATCCGCCAGGCCCAGATCTCAGAGGGGGCACTGCTGGAAAGGCTGGGAGCCTCCCCTCTCAACCTTCCACCCAAACCCACCCCTCTTTTGGGAACTTGGCAGGCAATGAGGATGAGCCCTTAATTATGTGGATGCCCAGTATGTGTGTTTCAAGTACGTTGTTCCACTGGGGCCTCACCCGCTATCAGGAGACCAGTTCTATTTTAACCCAGTGCTGAGGCTCTGAGAGGTCAGTAACTGGGCTGAGAGCCCACAACCAGCGAAAGGCAGGGCTGGGATTCCTGGGCGTCTCACTCTGCCTGGCAAGTGCTGGAAGTTCGGTGGAGGGGCGTCCGCTGCTCTCTGGGGCCCACAATTGGCGGTGGAGGAAATGGGGCTGCAATGACCTGTTGAGACCCAAGTCCGATGGAAGAGTAGGGATTAGCAAGTGGGGGAGTGAGAGGCCGGGACCTTTTTTTTCTTCTTCTTCTTTTTTTCTAGATGAGTGTCTCTCTCTGTCACCCAGGCTGGAGTGCAGTGGTGCAATCTCGACTCACTGCAATCTCTGCCTCCAGGGTTCAAGCAATTTTCCTGCCTCGGCCTCCCAAGTAGCTGGCACTACAGGCACACGCCACCATGCCTGGCTAATTTTTACATTTTTTAGTAGAGACGGGTTTTCGCCATGTTCGCCAGGCTGGTCTCGAACTCCTGACCTCAAACGATCTGCCCGCCTCGGCCTCCCAAAGTACCAGGATTACAGGCCTGAGCCACTGCGCCTGGCCCACACCCTTGAAGACCCCACAGCCAAGGTCCTCCAGCCCCGCTCTGCGTGGCGCTCTGGTCTTGGGGCTCGGGACTCTGTCATCACGAGCAGGGGCCAGTCCAATCTTGCACCGTTGCCTGGCACCGTCCCTGGAGCCTTGGCGTCCTGGCCTCTCCTCTCTGCCGGCTGGGGGTGGAGTGGCCCGGTCGGATGGAGACAGTGCACAAAGCCGATGGCGAGTGCCGCGGTCAGTTTGGCCCCGCCGCTCTTCGAGGCAGCAGCCACCCTGGGGAAGGTGGATGCCCGGAAGGGGCGTTGCCTGCGGGTCACCCAGAGGTCACCGGCGGGAAATTCCGGGGGTGGGAGTGAGGAGAGGTGGGAGAGGCCAGGGCAGAGGGAGGCCCCGGGTGGGCTGGGAAGCATCGCCTGGTGCGGGCCATCGCATTCCAGGGCCAGCGACTTCTCCGCAGAGCGACCGCGCGGGTTCTCAGAGCGCCTCCCCGAGCCACACTAGGAGCGCTGGACCGCGGGGGAGAGGCTCGGAGGGCGGCCAGCTCCCAGCAAGGCGGCCTAGCGGGCAGGTAGAGGGCCCGGCCCCTCGCCAGCCCTCTCTGCCTGTTCTCCCTGCGCCGGGGCGCTCCAGGTCCCAGCCCCGAGCCCTAGCGGCTCCCCACTCCATGACCTCTGGACGCCCCGTCGGGTCCAAACCGGATAGGCAGGGCGCGAGCGCCCGGGCGGAGGGGCCGCGGGAGCTCAAGCGGGGCTCGGTGCGCGCCCCAGCCGCCGGCCTGCGCTATCCCTGCAGATGTCGGGAGCTATCTTTGGGCCTCCGGAGGGCCCGAGCGCCCTGGACGCCGCTGGCGTCCACCCGCTGGTGTGCCCGCTGTGCCACGTGCAGTACCAGCGCCCGTGTCTTCTGGACTGCTTCCATGACTTCTGTGCCGGCTGCCTTCGTGGCCTCACGACCGACGGCCGCCTCACCTGCCCACTGTGCCAGTAAGTGTCCCAAAGTTCCCAAAAACCTCCCAGACTCCGTCCCCGGAGGCCAAGGTTTGCTCTGTCTGAACTGAGATCCAGGTACCAGGAGAGCGAGGCTCCGACTTAAGGCAGAACCAGCGGGAGGGGCTGCACCCAGTCCTTAGCTCTTTCCCCAAAAGTTGCAGCCTTTAGCCCATTTTACAGATCAGCTTAACTGAGGCCTGGAGACTGCAGTTACTGGCTCAAGACCTCCCATCAAAAGTCAGGGCGGGGCTCCAGCACCGGTCAGGACACTTCCAGTAACTTGATTTGGGGTCCTAGAAGTCTTAGGTCCACAAAACCACAGTTAACTTTAGGTGGGTTCGAGGCACCCGGGAGTGGCTCTAATTTACCCAATCCCATGAGAATATGCCAAGGAGAGGCTTCTGCTTTTGATACCGGGGCACCAACCCACTGTCTGCAGGAGTGCCCAGGACTGGGCAAGAGTAGGGACCAGGGCAGGGTGAGCGCTGGCTGTGATATTTATAGCTGGGTGCACCGCCCTCCCAACACAGCTATTTTTAGCCCCAGCCTGGAATGTGAGGTGGGGGTGGGGAGCCTTGGGGAAGGGGTGTCAGAATCTTGGGGCCTGGGCTTCTCTGCAGACAGCAGACTGTGGTGAAGGGTCCCAGCGGGCTCCCGCCGGTGGACCGGCTGATGCAGTTCCTGGTGGACAGCTCCGGGGATGGCGTGGAGGCGGTGCGCTGTGCCAACTGTGACCGGGAGTGCAGCGAGCAGGCAGGAGCAGCAGGGGCGGGTGGGTGGGGAGTGAAGGGTCCCAGGTTGCACAGTCTCCAGTGTTTGCACATGCACCTAGCATGTCCTCAGAGGACCACCTGCCAGTGGATTCCCCAGCACCTCCCTAAGGCACCTTGGCCCCGAATGTGGGCCCCATTATACCCAGGGGGAGACTGAGGTCAGAACAAGGGACTTGAGGCAGTGTCCAGATAGTGGCCATTCGATCTGGGGAGGGCTCGCTGGTCTCCACCTCAGGGTGGAGCTGTGGACTCAAGCAGGAAGGGTGGTCTAGCCTGCAGGCCTGGGCCGATCCCAGAGGACCTCTGCTACCCAAGTGGCACAGAAGCAGCTACAGCCCGGCGGAGGTGAGGACAGCATGCTGTTCCCCTGGGCTGTAAAGGACACTGGGGACTCTGGCCTGCGGAGGCCGGAAAGGGTACCGGGAATCCCATGAGGACGGCCCTACAGGGACAAAAGCTCTGGCGATCTGGGCAAGTGCTGAGAAATGTGGGAGCCAGAGGTACAGAGAGGATGAACAGGAGGCAGGGACTCCAGGGAGCGCCTGTTCTGTCACCCACTGCCTGTCCCCACACCAGGGCTGCAACACAAGCCCTGGCCTCCCAGCCCTGGGTCTGGCTTGGGGAGGATAACCAGAAAGCCCTCCCTGCTCTTCTCCTCCCCGCTGAGGTGTGACTCTGGACGGCCAGGGTGCACACCACCTTTTGGCCACTATTGAGTGTGTCAAGAGGTCAGTGAGAGGCCTTCAGACCCCTTTTGTTGCAGGTAAAACGTTTGTTTCATAAAAGCAGTCTCTGCCGTCTCCCCCTGACCCCCACACCCCCAAGGACCTACTTACCCAGCCTCTGAGCTGCAGTGCCCTCATCTGTAAACTGGGTATATCAGAGCGCCAAGTGCCCGGATTACAGGAAGGGGCTGCGTGTGGCTGAGCACCCGACCACGGCTGGGTCAAACACGCGCGGTGATTCGGGTCGACTGCGGTTCCCGCGCTGGCCGCGGTCGGGCTCTGGCGCTCCTGAGCCGGCTCTCGGCCCGCAGGACGTGGAGACCACGTACTTCTGCAACACGTGCGGACAGCCCCTGTGCGCGCGCTGCCGCGACGAGACGCACCGGGCTCGCATGTTCGCGCGTCACGACATCGTGGCCCTGGGCCAGCGAAGCCGCGACATGCCCCAGAAGTGCAGTGAGTGAGGCTTGCCGGGCCGGGGACCGGGGGTGGGCACGGGCTGGGGACGGGCCCGGAACTGCCCGGAGCCCTCACCGCCGTCCGCCCACCCGCAGCGCTGCACGGAGAGCCCTACCTCCTGTTCTCCACCGACAAGAAGTTGCTGCTGTGCATCCGCTGCTTCCGCGACATGCAGGGGTGCGTAGAGGGGGCGCGAGGGGAGGGGGCTGGGGGCGGCCGGAGCGGGCCTCACCCGCCGCCTCCCGCAGGGAGAGCCGGGCGCACTGCGTGGACCTGGAATCGGCTTATGTGCAGGGCTGCGAGCGGCTGGAGCAGGCGGTGCTGGTGACGGCAGGAGCAGGCGCACGGGGGCGGGGGTGTGGGGCCGCGCGGCGGCACTCTCCAGCCTGACCCCGCCCTGTGCCCAGTCCGTGAAGGCCCTGCAGACGGCCACGCGGGAGGCCATCGCGCTGCTGCAGGCCATGGTGGAGGAGGTGCGGCACAGCGCGGCCGAGGAGGAGGACGCCATCCACGCCCTGTTTGGCAGCATGCAGGTAAGGGGTAGGGGTTGCGGGTAAACGACCCAGCCAGGAGCTGGTGACATGGCCGGCCCCTCGCCCTTGTGGATTTCCAGTGTAGCGGGGCAGCAGGCCTTGCACCAATCACTTTTTTGGAGTTGGTAGGAGAGCTCGGAGGGGAGACCAGGGCCTGCCCCAGGCTGGTGGTAGGGATGTGAGGTGGTCAGGAAAGGCTTCCTGGAGAGGTGACTTTTTTTTTTTTTTTTAAAGACGAAGTTTCACCATGTTGGTCAGGCTGGTCTTGAACTCCCGACCTCAGGTGATCCGCCCACCTTGGCCTCCAAAGTGCTTGGATTACAGGCGTGAGCCACCACGCCCAGCTGGAGAGGTGACTTTTAAGGGGAGGGGACATCCAGCCCTCAGGCAGTGGATGCTGAGATACCGAGCCTAACCAGCAGGTGGCTGTGGTGGGGGGGGGGTAGGCATGGTGGGAGGTGGCAGGGCTGAGGGTGCAAATCAAGAGCATGCCCGCCGTCTCTTCCAGGACAGGCTGGCAGAGAGGAAAGCGCTGCTGCTTCAGGCTGTGCAGAGGTGAGTGGGGAAGGGGGGCCTTCTCCCCTTGCCCCTTGGACTCCATGCCCTCAGCTGAGAGCCTGGGCAGGCCCTAGCCCACCCTGGGGAGCAAGACATCTGGGTGTCCACCCAGCTGAGGAGGGCAGCATGGCTCAGGGTGCAGAGAAGGAGTGTGGGGATGGACATGTGAAGCTGGCAGATGGATGGGACTGCCGGGTCCTGCTCCTGGCCCCCTGGAGACCAGGCATCCCCCTCCCCCAGCCAATATGAAGACAAGGACAAGGCCTTCAAGGAGCAGCTCTCTCACTTGGCCACCTTGCTGCCCACCCTGCAGGTACAGGGAGCTCAGGGTGCATGGGGGGGTCCCTCCCCCCCAGGTACTGAGCAGTGTCCCCCCACCCAGGTCCATCTGGTCATCTGCTCCTCCTTCCTCAGCTTGGCCAACAAGGCTGAGTTCCTGGACCTGGGCTACGTGAGTCTCCTCCCTGCCTGCAGATGTCCCCTCCCCACCAGGAAACCACCCTGCAGACCAAGGCCACCAGCTCAGGGTTGGGCAGCCTGTCACCTGGAGCCTGGACCGGGGGTCTTGGGGCTGACCTTCCCCTCCCAACTCCATCATCTGCAAACCAGCTAGGGCCACTGTTATAAGGACAGTGAAGCCAGGAAGGGGGCATGAGCCCCCAGTCCCCATGGGGCAGGATGCCACTGGAGTCCAGCCGCCCCCCTCCTGTGGATTTGGCTGCCACCCCCCCACCGGCCTGAGGCCCTCCTGGTTGCCACAGGAGCTGATGGAGAGGCTGCAGGGCATCGTCACACGGCCGCACCGCCTGAGGCCTGCGCAGAGCAGCAAGGTGTGAAGTGGTCTGGGTGGGCCAGGGTCGGGGGTCCTGCAGGGCAGTGGAGGCCACCTCGTGACCTCATCTTACCGCCCAGATTGCCAGTGACCACCGAGCCGAGTTCGCGCACTGTCTGGAGCCGCTGCTGCTGCTGGGGCCGCGCCGGGTGGCAGCTGCAGTGGGTGGTGCGAGCATGTGAGCAGCAACGGGGACGGCGGGCGGTCTCCTCCACGGGGATATGGGGGCGGGAGGGTGCTGAGGGGCCAGATAGGGAAAAGCCAGGTGCCACCCTTCCTTCCGCCATCCTTAGTTCGCCACCCTCCCGGTACAGTGACTGGGCACAGGCAATGGCTAGGGTGAGTCCACCAAGGAGGGGAACAGGAAGTCCTGGACCTGTAGCCCATGGCAGACCTGGCTTGGAGCTTGGCCAAAGGACAAGGGGAGGACTCAGGCCCCCAGCCGCCACTGCAGCCTCTCCTGGGGTGGGATGCGTGGGGCTGGGCTGACTGCCACCTCAGTGGCCTGAAGCCGAAGGGCACCTGATTCCTGACCTCATCTGAGAAGGAGTTAGGAGAAATGCTGAAACTGGCATGTGTGTGCCCAGGGGCCCCAAAGACCAAGAGAGACTGGGTTCACACGTCCTCTGTGCAGCGTGGAGGTGAACACACCATTCCCTTGGTCCTAGCCCTGGCAGCATTCCCATGGACTCACTCTTGGCCCCACACCCTGGAACCCACACCAGGGACTTTAAAAATAGATGTGGGCCGGGTGCGGTGGCTCACGACTGTAATCCCAGCACTTTGGGAGGCTGAGGCGGGCGGATCATGAGGTCAGGAGTTTGAGACCAGCCTAACCAACATGGTGAAAATCCATCTCTACTAAAAATACAAAAATTAGCTAGGCGTGGTGGCACACACCTGTAATCCCAGCTACTCAGGAGGCTGAGGGAGGAGAATCGCTTGAAGCCGGGAGGCAGAGGTTGCAGTGAGCCAAGATCGCACCATTGCATTGCACTCCAGCCTGAGTGACAGAGTGAGACTATGTCAAAAACAAACAAACAAATAGATGTGGATGTCCAGGTGAGGCCTCAGCCTCAGGCTTTTCAAAGCTCTCAGTGGCTCTGCTGTTCTCCAGGTGGTAGAGAGGGCTGTGAGGGCCGTCCAGGGGAGGGGACCGGGAGGCTGGGGGAGGGGCAGACTTCCTCACCCTGCATCCAAACTGGCTCTCTCCACAGGCTGGCAGGGGGCTCAGGCCCAAAGGTGCTGACGGGGCCCCACTGCCCCTCCCCGACAGGAAAGACGTCGGGGTCACCCGTCCAAAAGCCCACGCTGCACCGATCCGTGGGCACCGAAGTGCTGTTGGCGGAGGGCGAGAACACGCCCTTCACACAGCACTGCCGCCACTATGAGGACTCCTACCGGGTGAGGGGGCCAGGGATCTGCAGGTGGCTGGTGTCCTAACCCACCCCTCACCAAGATACGCTCAGGCAAATCGAGTTGGATTTGCCGCTGAGCCTGGGAGCCATTCCTCACCAAGGCCCTGGCAGTGAAAACAGCCCAGGGTGAGACTGGACACCTTGGCTCATGCCTGTAATCCCAGCACTTCGGGAGGCTGAGGCGGGTGGATCACCTGAGGTAGGGCATTCGAGACCAGCTTGAGCAACATAGAGAAATCCCATCTCTAATAAAAATACAAAATTAGCCAGGCGTGGTGGCGCATGTCTGTAATCCCAGCTTCTCGGGAGGCTGAGGCAGGAGAGACTTGCTTGAACCCGGGAGGCGGAGGTTGTGGTGAGCTGAGATTGAGACATTGCACTCCGGCCTGGGCGACAAGAGCAAAACTCCGTCTCAAAAAGAAAACAAAACCAAAAAACTAAAATCAGCCTAGGGTGACCCCATGCCCTCACACGGCCTCTCGGTGCAGCGCCTGCAGGTGGAGATGCAGAACCTGAAGGACCAGGTACAGGAGCTGCACCGGGACCTCACCAAGCACCACTCACTCATCAAGGTGGAGATCATGGGAGATGTCCTGCGAAAGTCCCTGCAGCTGGACACGCGGATCGCCTCGGAGCACGCCTCCTTAGAGGGCATGAGGGTCATCTTCCAGGAGGTAGCCCTCCCAAGGACTCTAACTCCAGCCGCACCTGTCAGGGGGCACCTGGGCTACCCCAAGACAGTAAGGGGGTAAAGAGGACCTGGTCTGTGCCCACGGGATCCTCATGTGGCAGGGTCTGGAAGCTGGGAGTCTTTGCTGCTTGGAACCATGTGGACCTGGCTGGGGGTGCTTTGTAGATCCGAGTGGCTAGAGATAGCAATGCCACCACTGCGAATTCCATCACTGCCACATCCAACATCCTGCTTTTCTCTTTCAGATTTGGGAGGAGTCCTATCAGCGAGTGGCTAAGGAGCAGGAGATTTATGAAGGTTCCGGGCAGCTGGCTGCTGAGTGAACTCCCTGCCCCTGATTTAACCCACATGCTAGCAAGGGAGGAAGTCAGAGTCGGCCACTAACCATGCGCAGATCCCTGCGCTCTCCCGCCTAGTGCTTGACTTTGCCTCCAGCTGCTAACTGGCCCCAAATGGTGCATGTAAGGTCAGGACTCATTGAGTAAATGCCCCATCAGGTGCCTCACTCTTTAACTAGAGGTCATCATGGAAACGTTGGGATATTTAGATGGTGCCCAGCTTGAATAAAAACCTGAAGCCAGGTGCTTCAGGGTTAGGACCCCTTGCTCTGGCCTTGGCTCCACAGCCCAGCTCCATGACCTTCTCCAGCTGAGGCAGGAGAATGCCTACCTGACCACCATCACCAGGCAGATCACGCCCTATGTCCTCTCCATTGCCAAGGTGAAGGAGCGGCTGGAGCCCAGGTGAGGCTGGGGGGTGTTCCCGGGTTCACAGAGTCTCCAGAATGTGTATGGGGGCTGGGTGCGGTGGCTCATGCCTGTAATCCCAGCATTTTGGGAGATGGGTGGGCAGATCACCTGAGGTCAGGAGTTCAAGACCAGCCTGGCCAACATGGTGAAACCCCATCTCTACTAAAAATAAAAAAATTAGCCGTGTGTGGTGGCACATGCCTGTAATTCCAGCTACTGGGGAAGGCTGAGGCACGAGAATGGGCTGAACCTGGGAGGCGAAGGCAGAGGTTGCAGTGAGCCAAGATCATGCTACTGCATTCGAGTCTGGGCGACACAGCAAGAACTTGCCTCAAAAAAAAAGAAAAGAAAGCAAAAGCATGGGAAAGGGTGCCACACCCACAGGACCCCGCTCAGGGAAGTCAGCTGGCCACGTCGTGAGGGTTCAGTTGGGGCATCTGGGCCACCAGGTGTGGGACATCTGCAAAAGTGTGGTCACAGTGAGTGCGCTGCTCTGAGTTTCTGCTTTTAGGTTCATAGTTGCTCCCTCCAACCCTCCGGAGTAGCTCAAAGCGGAAGCCACTTCTTGAGGGTGTCACGAGGGTCCTGCTGGGCGGATCCAGGCAACAGGACATGGGGGAGAGGGCAGGAACTACATCAATGTAAGACAAGCCAAGTCTGGACCAGAGTAGGAACCAGGGTCTCGAAGCACTGTACTCAGGCATCAAAGGGGCTCTAGTGGCAGAGGGATCTTGGTGGCAAGTCTTCGATGTTCCTGTCTCTGAGTCATTGGGCCCCAGGATAGACTGGTGGCCCTGGAGGTCTAGGGCATGGCTGGAGCCTGGGCTCTCACCACCCTAGTGGGGATTCCACCTGCCCCCCACCCCCACACCCCATCTCCTATCACCCAAAGTTCCTGTCAGGTTTTAGGGGAGCCCACCACCTAGTAACTTCTTGAGAAAGACGGCACAGGAGGTGCATATTTGGGATGGCACGGGTCTGAAAATGTCTCCCTTCTATCTTCACCCTTGATTGATGGTTTTACTGGGTATCAAATTCTAGACTGGAAATTCTAGATTGGGAAGGATTCTCCTTCGAAGGCATCACTCTGTTTTCTAGCTTCCACGGTTGTTCATGAAGGCTGAAGGCGCCCAGATTCCTAACCCTTGTAATGTTACCTACCAATTCTCTGTGGAAGCTTGTAGAATCTTTCCTTTGCTCCCAGCGTTCTGAGATTTCACTTTGGTGCGAGTCTGTTTTCATCCATTAGGTTGGATACTAGCAGCCCTTTCAATCTGGAAATTCATGGTCTTCGGTTTGGGCATATTTCTTTTTTTTTTTTCTTTTTTCTTTTTGAGATGGAGTCTCACTCTGTCGCCCAGACTGGAGTGCAGTGGCATGATCTTGGCTTACTGCAACCTCCACCTCCTGGGTTCAAGCGATCCTCCTGCCTCAGCCTCCTGAGTAACTGGGACTACAGGCACATGCCACCATGCCTGGCAAATTTTTGTATTTTTAGTGCAGATGGGATTTCACCAAGTGGACCAGGCTGGAATATTTCTTTTTGAATTTGTTGATTTCTTCACTTTTTCTTTTTGGAATTCCTATTGTTGGATATTGGCTCCCCTGGGCTGGCTCTCTAATTTACCTTTTCTGTCTTATTTTCCATCTCTTTGTCTTTTTTTTTTTTTTTTTTTTTGAGATGGGGTCTTGCCCTTTCGCCCAAGCTGGTCTTGAAACTCCTGGGCTCAAGTGATCCTCCCACCTCAGCCTCCCAGAGTGCTGGGATTACAGGCGTGAGCCACTGCGCCAGGCCTCTTTGTTATTTTCCAGGAGTTTCCTCTTTGTCTTCCAACCCTTCTATTAACTTGTTCATTTCTGCTATGTTGTTTTAATTTCCAACAGCTCTTTCTGTACCCTGTCTCTTCTGATAGCATCCTGTTGTTCATGGACGCAGTATCTTACTCCTCTGAAGCCAGTAGGTTATTTTTCCTTTTAGAAATTTTCTCCCTGAAGTGTTTCCTCCCAATTGCTTTTTGCTTGTGAAGGTTTTTGTATGTTTGTTTGTTTGAGACAGGTGCTAGCTCAACTCACTGCAGCCTCCACCTCCCGAGTTCAATCGATTCTTGTGCCTCAGCCTCCAGAGTAACTGGGATTACAGGTGTGCACCACCAGGCCCACTAAGCTTGTGTAGGTTTCTGTCTTCCAGAGTGAAGGCTTTTCTCAGATGTCACGTCACCTTTGAGTATCTGCTCATATTAGGAGTGGGGCAGGGCTGGAGCCACGAGGCAGATGGGAAGCTGTGAGCACAGGGGTGGTGCCTCCTTGGAGAGGGTCTGGGAGGGTAGATTCTTGCTTTTATGGAGTGCCCCAAGGTCAGCGTTCAGTCCCTTCCTTTCCAGTCCTTCCCGGGAGGCCTCTCTGTGGAGCATCTGTAGACACACTGCGTTTTCTGGTTTCAGTGCAGTTCTCGACTGGCCTCTCAGAACTAACCCCTCAGACTTCGGCTGCAGCAGGAGAGGACCAGTTGCTGAGTGGCAGGGATCTTGGCTGTCATCTGTCCTATTTTGTCCCACCCTCCCTGTGGCAGAGGCAAAAGGGCTGCCATTTCCTAAACCTGCCAAGGGATGCTGTGGCGTGAACCTGCGTGTCCTCAGCTTGTCCCACCGTCAGTTTCCAACTCGGGTTTCTCAGGTCTGCTCAATCGCTGACCACTTGTTCACGTGCTCTCTGGCTTCCAGAAGTGTGGTGCTATCCTTTCCTGTCCTCAGCCCAGAGGGGCCTTCTTCTCCTTGTCATTTTAATCCCTTCACTAGAGTCTCAGCGTGTTTGGGGAAGATAGAAAATGAGTGTGCACCATCAGCCATGTTAGCCCCAAACTGCCAAGTCACCTTTAGGTGATTAATTTCACATGACACTGAGAGGTTAAACTCACTCGACTCTTTGGCACAGTTTTGGTGAATCCCTGTCTACCCTGGACTCCATAGGCATTCGAGGTATTCTAGTTCAGATACTATGGGATTCCACTTATAAAGCCTCAAAAGCGGCCAGATGCAGTGGTTCTTGCCTGTAAATCCAACACTTTGGGAGGCTGAGACAGGCACATCACTTCAGGTCCAGAGTTTGAAACCAGCCTGGCCAACATGGTGAGACCCTGTCTCTACTAAAAATACAGAAATTAGGCCGGGTGCGGTGGCTCACGCCTGTAATCCCAGCACTTTGGGAGGCAGAGGTGGGCAGATCACAAGGTCAGGAGTTCAAGACCAGCCTGGCCAACATGGTGAAACCCTGTCTCTACTAAAAATACAAAAAATTAGCCGGGCATGGTGGCATATGCCTATAATCCCAGCTACTCGGGAGGCTGAGACAGAATTGCTTGAACCCGGGAGGCAGAGGTTGCAGTGAGCTGAGATTCTGCCGCTGCACCCCAGCCTGGGAGACAGAGCAAGACCCTGTCTTGGAAAAAAAAATACAAAAATTAGCCAAGCACAGTGGTGGGCGCCTGTAATCCTAGCTACGTGGGAGGCTGAGGCAGGAGGATCACGTGCGCTCAGGAGGTGGCGATTGCAGTGACCTGAGATTGCGTCATTGGAATCCAGCCTGGGCAACAGAGACTCCATTTCAAAAATAAATAAATAAATAAAGGCCAGTCATGCAGTGGCTCACACCTGTAATCCCAGCACCTTGGGAGGCTGAGGGAGGCAGATCATGAGGTCAGGAGTTCAAGATCAGCCTGACCATCATGGTGAAACCCCGTCTCTACTAAAAATAAAAAAAAATTAGCCTGTGCGGTGGTGTACACCTGTAATCCCAGCTACTCAGGAGGCTGAGGCAGGAGAATCGCTTGAGCCCGGGAGGCGGAGGTTGCTGTGAGCCAATACACTGCCACCGCACTCCAGCCTGGGCCACAGAGCAAGACTCCGTCTCAGAAAAAACAAAAACAAAACCCCTCAAAAGCGGGCAGAACTAACTTATGGTGTTAGCGGTCAGGACAGTGATTATCCTGGGAAGGAGGACTGGAAGGGGGTACGAAGGGGGCTTCTGGGGCGGGGACAATGTCCTGGGTGCTACTCACACAGGCTTATCCACACCATGAATGTACCAAGGCACAGTCTGCCTTTGCAGAAATGCTCAGGCTGGAGTCCAGCTCCTGGAAGTTTGGGGCAAGGTGGGGCCAGCTCTGCCCCTCTTCAGGGCAGCCACTTTGTGAATGTCTGTAGTTACTACCTCAGCCCAGTCCCCGCAGGCCTCTGACTCCACCCATCCAACCTCGGCGAGCCCTCCCGTAGGTCCAGGCCACCTCCCTTGGCCTCTCAGCAGCACTCATGAGCATCACCACGTTTGTCTTTTTTTTTTTTTTTTTTTTTTGGAGACGGAGTTTCGCTCTTGTTACCCAGGCTGGAGTGCAATGGCGCGATCTCAGCTCACCGCAACTCCGCCTCCTGGGTTCAGGCAATTCTCCTGCCCCAGCCTCCTGAGTAGCTGGGATTACAGGCACGCACCACCATGCCCAGCTGATTTTTTGTATTTTTAGTAGAGACGGGGTTTCACCGTGTTGACCAGGATGGTCTCGATCTCTTGACCTCGTGATCCACCCGCCTCAGCCTCCCAAAGTGCTGGGATTACAGGCTTGAGCCACCACGCCCGGCTCGTCTTTTTTTTTTAGACAAGGTCTTGCTGTGTTGTCCAGGCTGGAGTGCAGTGGTGCAACCATAGCTCACTGCAGCCTCAACGTCCCAGGCTCAATCAGTCTTCCCACCTCAGCCTCCTGGGTAGCTGTGACTACAGGCATGTGCCACAATGTCCAGCTAATTTTTTTTTTTTTTTGAGATGGAGTCTCACACCGTTGCCCTGGCTGGAGTGTAGTTGCGTGATCTCAGCTCACTGCAACCTCTGCCTCCTGGGATCAAGTGATTCTACTGCCTCAGCCCCTTGAGTAGCTGGGATTACAGGTATGTGCCACCACACCCAGCTAATTTTTTATTATTTTTAGTAGAGATGGGGTTTCACCATATTGGCCAGGCTGGTCTCGAACTCCTGACCTTGTGATCTGCCCGCCTCAGCCTCCCAAAGTGCTGGGATTACAGGCATGAGCCATCGTGCCCAGCTGCCCAGCTAATTTTTATATTTTTTGTAGAGATTGGGTTTTGCTATGTTGCCAAGGCTGGTCTCAAACTCCTGGGCTGTTTCTCCTACCTCAGCCTTCCAGAACGCAGGGATTACAGGTGTGAGCCACTGTGCCAAGCCATGTTAGTCTTCAGTACGCCTTCTGTCGTTGCTGACAGCCCACAGTCTCATGCTCCCTCCAGCCTCTCCAGCCATCCCTTCCTGGTCTCTGGCTGGCTCTGCCTCCTCAGCTCAGTGTCCAGATACCAGCTTTTCCCAAGGGCTCAGCCCCAGGCATTCTCCACCTCCTACTCTCACTCCTTGGGTGACCTCATCCAGTCCCTGGCTTTAAGAGCCCATCTTGATGCAGATGACCCCAGATCCTGCTCTAGCACAGTGCTAACTGGAGCGCCAGACTCATCTCCCACTGCCCCCTTGCTGGGCAGCCCTACCTGGGTGTCTGACAGGCACTGCGAGTTCAGCAGTGGCCGGAATCCTGGACGTCCTCTGGCAGACAGGCCACTCCCATCTCCCTGTCTCAGTGAATGAAACCACATTCACTCAGGTGAAAAGCCCAGGAGAAAGCCTGGATTCCTTTCACCCACTCCGTTTCCAGCCCACCCTCAAGTTTGCCGGCTCTACTGTCCCACCCTCAGTCCGCCCGCTTTGGTCTCTGTTGCTCCCATGAATCCAAACCATCATGGCCTATCCTCCTGTCCCTCCAGCTGCCATGCAGCCAGAGGTCCTTTAGAAGCCTACAATTCCCATCACAGTAGGGCTGGACAGCTCTCTTGGGGACCTTCCCTTTGCACCTGTGACCGTGTCTACCCCTCATAACACCCTGGTTACAGTTCCCTTTCAGTTCCCCCCAAAAGCTAGACTTGTCCTATTTCTGGGCCTCTGCCTGAGCATTCACAGACCCTCAGGCCTCAGCTTTGATAAATGTCAGCAGCAGCCTTCCCGACACCACCTGGATTACAGCAGGTCCCCTGGCTGGCGCCCTCACCTCCCACTGTGCTTCCTTCCCTCCCTCAGTGTGTCTGCCCTGGCCAGCACGTGGCTTCCATCAGGGCAGGGTCTGGCTTCTGCACACCACACAGTCCTGGCCCCCGCCAGCCACTGGGCCTTAGTAAATACTTGAGGACCAAAAGAATGACGCACTAGGTGGGCCCATGAGTGTCGGCACAGTGCTTTCTGAGGTTTCTGAGCTTAAGGCTGGGCAGCAGCTGGCTCTGCTCCCTTGAGATTCCGGTGCCTGCTCTCTTGCCAGGTTTCAGGCACCTGTGGATGAGCAGTCAGAGAGTCTACAAAACACGCAGGACGACAGCAGGAACAGCGTGGCCTTAGCCAGGTAAAGCAAGTCTCTCTAAATGAGAGCGGGCGTGCGACATGGATTCCGAGGCCAACAGGAGGACAAAGGAAACCAGGCTGCTTTTCCCCTTTGATTCCAGCTCTGGGGCCTCAGCTGGGCATCTTTGTAGAACAAGGGGTCAGAGAGGCTCTCGGCCTGGATGAGTGACTTAAACAAGTGACCTCGTAGATAAAACGGGTGTGACTTTGATAGATGGGACCCCATCTTACCATTATAAACAGCCACGGCTGCTGCTGGTGTCTGCCTTCACCACTGGGAGCTGCACGTACTGACACCAGGGGACTCGGGTCACTGACATGAGAAAGCGACTGAGGACTGTCCCCCAGAGCCACGGTGTGTGCCCCAATACCTGCCAGAGGAAGAGAAGGCTGTGCAGTAACACCCACGACACTGTCACAGGCTGATCTTTCTGTATGTTGCTGTCAGGAAAATGTACTCAGTAATAGGGTGGGGGACAGCACTGTGGAATCAGAGAGGCTAGCGGGTATGCTGAGGGTTGCTGAACTGGCCAGAGTCACAGCATGGCTGGTGACAGGGCAGAGTCTGGCCCCAGCCTCCCTGGCACAGCTATTTTTTTTTTCTGCCTCCTGGGTTCAAGCAATTCTCCTGCCTCAGGCTCCCGAGTTGTATGGGTGGCATATGCCACCATACCCGGCTAATTTTTTTATATTTTTAGTAGAGACGGGGTTTCACCATGTTGGCCAGGCTGGTCTCGAACTCCTGATCTTGTGATCTGCCCACCTTGGCCTCACAAAATGCTGGGATTACAGATGTGAGCCACCGTACCTGGCCCGCTGTTTATTTAGCTCGGATGCTTCTGAATTCTGTCACCAGAAACCGCTGACACAGCCTGATGGTTCAGCAACTCACACCCATCCCTGGGGACAGGCTCCTATTCAGTAGTAGACAAGATCCTGAGACAAGCCTTCCTGGTTCTGAAGGCATGCTTACTCACTGGGGCCTTCCAGGAAGACTTTCCATTCTGAGAGCTTTGGCTTGAGTGGATTTTAGTGCAGGGATACAGTGAAATGGGGGAGCGGTGTGGGCTCACATGAGACTGTCCCTTTAGGAATAATCCAGGAAGTGTCCCAGAAAAGAAAGAGAAGACATCAGAGTCTAAAGGAAACACCTGGGCTCTGAACAGCCTCTCGGAAGAGCTTCTACCGAAAAACAAGGATCATCACAGACCCAAACAGAAAAATGGGAGCAATGTCTCCACACGGAGGGAACAGCCGGCTTAGCAAGTGGGACCGGTCCCCAAGGTCAGGCTCTTAGAGCAGGCATCAGACTGGGACACTGGAGAGAAGGTTGTTCCCATGATGGTTATTTTAATTTTTTTGAGATCGAGTTTTACTCTTTGTTGTTGTTGCCCAGGCTGGAGTGCAGTGGTGCAATCTCAGCTCACTGTAACCTCCACCCCCTGGGTTCAAGTGATTATCCTGCCTCAGCCTCCTGAGTAGTTGGGATTACAGGTGCCCGCCACCACATCCAGCTAATTTTTTGTATTTTTAGTAGAGACAGGGTTTCATCATGTTGGCCAGGCTGGCCTCCAGACCTCAGGTGATCCACCCACCTCAGTGTCTCAAAGTACTAGGATTGCAGGTGTGAGCCACCATGCCTGGCCAACGGTTTTTTGTTTGTTTGTTTTTTGAGGCAGAGTTTCGCTCTTGGTGCCCAGGCTGGAGTGCAATGGTGCGATCTCAGCTCACCGCAACCTCCACTTCCTGGGAATCTCCTACCTCAGCCTCCAGAGTAGCTGGGATTACAAGCATGTGCCACTACACTCAGCTAATTTTTTGTATTTTTAGGAGAGACGGAGTTTCTCCATGTTGGTCAGGCTGGCCTTGAACTCCCGAACTCAAGCAATCCTCCTACCTCAGCTTCCCAAAGTGCTGAGGTTACAGGCATGAGCCACCGTCCCCAGCCGGTTATTTCTTGAAAAGGTAATCACTTGTCAATCGTGAACCTGGCAGCTCCGACAGGTCATAATTTCAGATTCTTTGGCTTGGGCTGTTTTGCTTTTGCCCGTGTTTGCATGGCACGAAGTCTTCGTCCTTGTCACAGTGGCTTGTGATGACTCCCAGTCCCCATGGAAAACATTCAGGGAGTCGCCATCCAGGAAGAAATCCCTCACCCGTTCCACTCCTATGCACCGAGTGTCCGTGTGCCACGCCCTGTGCTGGGGCAGGGCGTGCTCCGTCAGGCTGTGCCAGTTTGAGTTGCAGGTAACAAGACTCCACTGCTGAGTAGCATCTGCCCTATCACAAAGGAATCCAGTTTCTCCGGAATTACAGTCCCACTGTTAACTTGGTGCCACTGGAAAGTCCCACCCAGTAATCTGAGCAGTGACTCACGGAAGGACGAGGAACCTTTGTTCCAGCTTCTCTCCCTTTCCAGCAAGTGCAGAGCTCCTGCAGCCAGAGGTTAGCAGCTGGCCAGCTTACGTGGCAGATGGTCTCGGTTACAACTCGCTGCTTTCCCAAACTACCGCACCCCTCCTGCGTCTGCCTTCCATTGATAGCGACGCCCTGGGCAGCAGCAACCTTTCTTCTGGTAGCTTTTTCTGAGCAGTTTTCCTTTTCTCTGGAGTACCCTTTTCATTTAGAGGAGTTTAATAAATGCTTTTAAAAATTAACCCACATGACCTAAAATTGTAAAAGTTTTTGATGCCCAGACAAGTCACATTTAAGCAAATTTTCAGCTGATTCAGTGGTTAACAGCAAATGGGTCTACGTGCTAACACAGACCAGCACGTTCAACACATAAACACATCACTCACATCGATGTCCACTTCCCCTACATCTGCTACTTCAGAGCACTGAGGTTCCCGTTCCAAGGCCTTACAGACCTCTGTGGTGGCCTGCAGGGCAAAAGGAATTATCGTTACAACTGGTTAGGGATAGAAACCCAGAAGGAAATTGAGGGGGCAAAACACACGTGGTTTGAGGCTGAAGGCTTGAGACTTTTCTTCCCCAGGAGTGACATGACCTCAGAGTTTCTACATCCCATACAATCACACCATGGCTCAGAGTGTAATCAAGTGCAGTTTTATTTATTTAAGAACTGGAAAGAATAATCAGTATCTGTGAAAGAAAATCCAATTTAGAATATTTAAATAAACATTTCTGTATGTAAAAAGAGTAGAATAATTACTCCATTAAGTTCCTCTCCTTGCAATGGGACAGACCGCCTCTATTGCAGATGGTCGGGTCTTCCAAACCCATGGCAGGTGCCACGTCTTCTGCAGCAGGCGCCCAGAGAATAAGCACTTCCCACCACGACAGAGAGGTCAAGGTCTTCTAACCTTGCCAAACCACTACAAAAGCAAACTATGGTGGGCAAGCCCAACTACCTAAGGCAGGAAGAAAGTGCAGCGAAGGGACAGTGGTGTGCTGTGCCTGTCGTGAGGGGACTGCTGGCAGCCAGCTGTGGCCGAGATCTTACTAAGCCTAATCGGTTAATGCAACTTCCTGGTTCAGGAACATTTTCCCTGTCAAATCAACCCCTCAGATTGCTATATAAACAGAAGGGAGTCTACTTTTTAGGCTTAAGGAGCAGCTCGCACCAGCAAAGGGGTGGCAGGTAGGCCACTACCTTGTTTTCCGTCCTGCTAAGAGGCTCACCCCGCGACCTCTTCTGTAAACTGCCACTCAGCAGCAGCCTGCAAGCCCTCACGAAAGGCTTCACTTTATGCTGTTTCCAAGTAGCTTTGTTCTGGGCAGTACCTATTTTCCATTTAAGAATCTCCACTTTAAAACCTGCAATGGAAAAATAAATCTCTTGACAGCTTTTTAAATGAGAAAATTGGTGATGTGGCCTTGGCAGCAAATACCCAGAAAAGCCTTTACCTCATTAACCTGATTCTCTGCCGCAGGCCCCACCACTGCTGAATTTATAAAGCTAAAAATAATCTCCAGATCGTGGAACTAAAAAGAAGTCAATCACTTACCAAATCCTGCCCTCAAGGAGTTCCTATTTTATCCCTAAGCAATTGCTAACTTCTGCCCTGGGATTTTAAGGAGGGTGGGAATGTTCTCTCACCATCCCCACCCCTGGAATTCCTCTTTAAAGCAGGCTACAATGTCAAGTTTCCCCTGGTGTCGGGCAGCATGTCACTGTGAAACCCTAAGACCTGCCTCCTGGGTTCCTTCCAGCGGATGGGCCCGGTGTGAAGGTGGGCTTTCTGGCCTCTGGCAGATGGAGGACGGTATTAAATGCCAACACTATCAGTCTTACCATCCACAAGGCCGGGGGCTACTAACAGCTGCCCCAGACCTATCAACAAGAAAACTTCATGGCTCCCAATGGGAGTGGACGCTGGGCCCCATGCTACTTAGATACAGAGGAAAGAACTTTCCCTCAAAGAGCTGGGGCAGGCTGCCAGAATCTACATCCTCTCCCAGTTTGCAGTTCTAGGAAGTGGAAATTTGCTGCCCTAGGCATGGTCTAAAGGACAAGTTTAGAACTGATTCAACTCAAGCTCCCAAACAGAGCGAGTGCCAGTCGATGTCCCACTGGGGATCCTTCACTCCAGAGAGATTCTATTGATGGCTCGGTCACCGCCTTGGCTAGAGTCCCACCGCACGCCCATTTTGAGGGCCAGTGGACAAGTCTGTCTGATTTTCAAACCAGCAGGTGTCACACTAGTAATCAATGAACCCGTAAGCCTCTTTGGTATATATAACAATGAAAAAATTCATTAAGCCATGAAATCTAGAAATAAGTCATATTTCTTAGTTGATAAAATGCTTTTCTGAACATACATTTTAGGTATCTGGCACAATTAACCAAATGTCTGCCCATGTTTGTGTAGCTTTTTTACAGTACAGATTTCATTGATGTCACCCCTGCATCTGAGTATTAAAAACATTTGACATTGTTATTCTCAGTCCTCACAACACCCCTGTGAGGTAGGTGGTATTGACCCCATTCCACAGATGGGGTGGTCTAGGCACGGAAAGGTTTAGTGGGTCCTCACAGGCTGCGCGGTGGGGTGACAGAGTGGTGCTCTGCACCCGCGCCGACACCGCCTTCACATTCACACTTTATCAGGCCACCGCAACACCGCGTGGCAGGATCTCACACTGAGGCCAAGTTCCTGTCTTGTCCAGAATGAAGCCAGCATCTCACCTCTTAAAGCTTCGATGTGTGACTCAAGGCCAACTGCTCTCCCAAACTTGCAAAACAAACATATTGACTGAATCTTGGCTGGGACTATTTGCACTATTGAAGATTATTTTTGAGAGTCAATCTGCTTGGATTTGTCGTTGTATATGCTTAAACCCCTTTGGAAAACAGTTTGAAATGATATGAGGGGCAATGTAATTTTGAGAACAGAACACAGAAAACAAGAGTTCTGAGATTTACGTTGAAATTGAGAATATAAGCTATGGTAAAATGAGAATCAAATCCCAAATAAATGGAGAGCAGCACTTCACGGTGTTTAACGCCGTGCACAGAGCAGGCATTTGGTAAGCACTTCTTGGATCAAGAGAAACTGACGCTCCTTTGAACCGCCTGTCACTAACAACAGGAGCCAGGACCCCCAGGAAAGCTGGCCAGGGCCATGGTCCCCTTGGCCTGGGGTCATAATCACACAAAGCCACTCGGCCAAATCGTGTGGAGGTATCTAGGCTTACTTGCTGCAGGATAAAAGTTGAGCTAGGAACACCAAGCGAGTCCCCTTGGAAGGTGTACTGCTACTTATAAAAAATAGATATGTAGCTATGATTAAATAGATGAAGGGCCAAAGCATCCTATGAGGAAGTATCTTTCAAATTGTCTAGATGTTCATGCAGTGGACAGAAATAAAGAGGTTAAAGCGGTTTGTTTTTCGGTTAAATGAAAGGTTGTAAATGTATTTTTAATACTGATAAGCAGAGTACCCGCTACCCCTTTCTGCTGTGGAAGTGTTGTTGAGGACAGAGTCTATCTCTCCCAGGGAGTCCTGGTTATACTTTACTTACACTTTGGCCTCGGGGGCAGTGGCGTGTGGCCTGGGTTCTCCCCAGGTCACTCTGGAGGGCGCTGTGGAATATTGCTGTGATTTGCCTCTTACTGGTATTTCACCCACGTTCCACCTCGATTCAGCACAAGGACAGGCTGCTTCAGTGGGGCCTTGGGTCCTCAGGCCTTCTGACCGCTTGGTCTCAAGGGACATTCCAGAAGAGTGACTAGTGACATACAAAACGATTAAGAAAATCCATGTCGCAGCGGCCAACCGGAAACAGTTTTGTCCCAGGCTGCACAGGGTCGGAGGCCCCAAGGTCACCGGAGTCACTGCCCATCACAGGTCCACCTTGACCCCCTTTATGAAAGGCAGGCCCGTGGGCACCCTCTTCTTATATTCCAGGTACTCCTCTCCAAAAAAGTGAATGAGTGAGATTTCTTCTTCTTCTATACGATCACGGAAGAACCGCCACACTGTCAGGGCATACCCAACGCCGCAGATGGGGTTACACAGCATCACCTGACAGAGGGAGACACCAGGGTCATCAGGGTGACCATGGGATGACACCTTGTGCTTTGGCAGGCACCTCTCTCTAATACCCAGAGGATCTCTTTGCCCGTGCCCTCCTGAGACTGTCAGGGTCTCTGGGAGCAGTACTGTCACCTAAGCGCCCGGTGCTGCAGGCCTCTCTTACGTGCTTTTCTGTTGTCGTCTTACATGAGACAAATCTGAAAATCACAAGATCAGCCTCTGGGATTTCAACCCTCAGCTCGGGGAGACAGCAATGCCCCCACCTCCTGGTGTGAGCTCCCCAACATGGGGTCCTGTGCACACTGCCTTCCTGCCCAGGACCCCTCATACACAAACGCATTTGCTTACACCACAGCTGCCCAGGCCTCTGCCTCACACCCCCACGGCCTCTGCTTTAGCACAAGATACAGGGCACCCAACTAAGCTTCCAAAACGCGCCTTCCAGCAGATCACCTCCGTGCTCAGCGCCAGCGCCTGAACCCCACCTCCTGAGTCTGGGTTTCCGAGCCCAGAAAAGCAGCACTTTGCCCACTTCCCCAGTCTCCTGTCTTCCCCATGCTGTGCCCAGTTTGCCTCTTACCTCTTTTTTCCCCCTCAAGACAGGGTCTCACTCTGCTGTGTGGAGTGCAGTGGCGTGATCATGGCTCACTGCAGCCTTAACCTTTTGGACTCAAGTGATCCTCCCACTTCAGCCTCCCAAGTAGCTGGAACTATCGGTATGTGACACCAAGCCCAGCTAGTTGCTGTATTTTTTGTAAAGACAGGTTTTCACCATGTTGTCCAGGCTCATCTCAAACTCCTAAACTCAAGTGACTCTCCTGCCTTGGCCTCCCTAAGTGCTGAGGTTACAAGTGTGAGTCATCACACCTGCTTGTTCGTCCACTTTTTTTGTTTTTGAGACAGGGTCTCGCTCTGTCACCAGGCTAGGGTACAGTGGCACAATCATGGCTCGCTGCAGCCTTGACCTCCCAGGCTCAAGCCATCCTCCTGCCTCAGCCTCCTATGTAGCTAGAACTACAGAATGAGCCACTACGCCTGGTTAATTTTTTTTATTTCTTGTAGAGAGGGGGCTTCACTATGTAGCCCAGCTGAACTTGAACTCCTGGCCCTTTCTTCTACTTTTAAGAACATCCTGGCTGGGCGCAGGGGCTCAGGCCTGTAATCCCAGCACTTTGGGAGGCTAAGGTGGTCGGATCACCTGAGGTCAGGAGTTTGAGACCAGTCTAGCCAACAAGGCAAAACGTCATCTCTACTAAAAATAGAAAATTAGCCAGGTGTGGTGGCCTGTAATCCCAGCTACTTGGGAGGCTGAGGCAGGAGAACTGCCTGAACCCAGGAGCCAGAGGTTGCAGTGAGCTGAGAATGCCACTGCACTCCAGCCTGGGCAACAGAGACTCCTTCTCAAAACAAAACAAAACAAAACAGTCCTTCAAGGTCAAAAGCATTCTCCAGCTTCTCAGGGAACCACTCACCTACTCCGGCCCACTGGTCCCCTACGGGCATGCATCTTCCCCAACATACATTTTATTTATGCTTTCTACACATACATTTTAGGTGCCGGTACAGCCACCTGGAGAGCCAAGCCCACGTCCTGACTTCTCACGCCTTCTCTTATTCAGCACTCACTGTGCTCCCAGCACTGCTAAGCCGTTTACCATCATTACACTGTTCAACTCTCATGGCAAACCTTTGAGGATACACTACTATCCCCACTTTGCCTTTTTAAATTTTTACTTATTTATTTTATTTTTTTTTTTTTTGAGACGGAGTTTCGCTCTTGTTACCCAGGCTGGAGGGCAATGGCGCGATCTCGGCTCACCGCAACCTCCGCCTCCTGGGTTCAGGCAATTCTCCTGCCTCAGCCTCCTGAGTAGCTGGGATTACAGGCACGTGCCACCATGCCCAGCTAATTTTTTGTAGCTTTAGTAGAGACGGGGTTTCACCATGTTGACCAGGATGGTCTTGATCTCTTGACCTTGTGATCCGCCCGCCTCGGCCTCCCAAAGTGCTGGGATTACAGGCTTGAGCCACCGCGCCTGGCCTACTTATTTATTTTTTAAAGACAGGGTCTCACTGTCCATATTGCCCAGGCTGGACTTGAACCCTTGGCCCAAGCCACCCTCCCGCCTCCGCTTCCCAAGTAGGGGGAACTACAGGCATGTGCCACCATTTCTAGCTACCCCCACTTTAACATGAGAGGAAGGGGGGCCAAGCAGTGAATGGCAGAATCAGGACTGGCCCAGTCAGTGACTCCAGGGCCTGTGCCCTCACCTCTGGCATAGCTTGCTGGGGACGCCCTAGAGCAGGCTTTCTCGACAGCAGACTACAGCCTATTACTGAGCCATGAAACCATTTAGAGCATCATGAATAGCATTACAAATAGTAAGACAGAAAACGGTGTTTTGTACACAGTAAGGGTAAGTCTTATTCCAGGAAAGACATGCTGGGGCACATGTGTATATGATTTTTGACCCCCAAAAAATCTAGGGCAAAAACGCTGTAGTTCTAGAGCACACATGTATACAGTAGGCAAGCATTTATGGCAAATTACATTATTCAGTCATAACCAATTTGTTCCCAGGGAAGGTGATTGTTAATGTGGGAGTTTTACATTTTCAGAAACAAAAATTTAAAGTAAATGCTATGTGATAATTTGCCCCAACTATACCATTAGGGTTCACCAGAGAGTCACCAAGGACCATGCATTGCTGATGGAATGCCTGAGAGATCTCCGGATTTGCCCAAAGACTCAGAGAGTTTTCCGAATTTTCCAAAATCTATTCACATTCTTTTGCCAACTTTTTCTAGAACCAAGAGTACAGAATCAAGAGACAGTTTCAAAAAATAAGGCTTGGTGCTAGGCATGGAGGATCACGCCTGTAATCCCAGCATTTTGGGAGGCTGCAGTGAGAGGACTGCTGGAGCCCAGGAGTTTGAGATCTGCTTGGGCAACACAGTAAGACCCCATCGCTAAAAAAAACAAAAAATTAGCTGGGTGTGGCCAGGCATGGTGGCTCATGCCTGTAATTCCAGCACTTTGGGAGGCTGAGGCAGGTGGATCACGAGGTCAGGAGATCAAGACCGTCCTGGCTAACATAATGAAACCCTGTCTCTATTAAAAATACAAAAAATTAGCTGGGTGTGGTGGCACACGCCTGTAGCCCCAGCTACTTGGGAGGCTGAGGCAGGACAATCGCTTGAACCCGGGAGGCAGAGGTTACAGATCGCACCACTGCCCCTAAAGGTGGGAAAAGAGCGAGACAGTCTCCAAAAAAAAAAAAAAAAAAAAATTAGGTGGGTGTGGTGGTATACACTTATAGTCCCAGCTACTCAGGAGACGGAAGCAGGAGGACTACTTCAGCCCAGGAGTTTGAGACTAGCCTGGGCAACACAATGAGACCTCATCTTGTTTTTTTTTTTTTGAGACAGTTTCACTCTTGTTGCCCAGGCTGGAGCGCAACGGCGTGATCTCAGCTCACCGCAATCTCCGCCTACCAGGTTGAAGCGATTCTCCTACCTCAGTTTCCCAAGTAGCTGGGATTACAGGCATGCACCACCATGCCTGGCTAATTTTTTGTATTTTTAGTAGAGACAGGGTTTCTCCATGTTGGTCAGGCTGGTCTCGAACTCCCAACCTCAGGTGACCCACCTACCTCAGCCTCCCAAAGTGCTGAGATTACAGGCGTGAGCCACCATGCCTAGCTGAGACCTCATCTTTAATACATAAATAAATAATTTTGGCCAGGTGCAGTGGCTCATACCTGTAATCCCGGCACTTTGAGAGGCCGAGGTAGGCAGATCACCTGAGGTCAGGAGTTCGAGACCAGCCTGACCAACATGGAGAAACCCGTCTCCACTAAAAATAGAAAATTAGCCAGGCATGGTGGTGCATGCCTGTAGTCCTAGCTCCTCAGGAGGCTGAGGCTCTGTAACTCTGGGAGGTGGAGTTTGCAGTGAGCAGAGACTGCACCACTGCATGCCAGCCTGGGTTACAGAGTGAGACTCCATTTAAAAAATAAAATAAAATTAGCCAGGCATGGTGGCATGTACCTATAGTTGCAGCTACTTAGGAGACTAAGGTGGGAGGATCACTTGAGCCCAGGAGGTCGAGGCTGTGATAAGGAATAATCATGCCGTTGCACTCCAGCCTGGGTAACAGACCCTGCCTCAAAAAAAATAATAATAATTTTAAAAAAGAAATAGCCAGGTGCAGTGGCTTACCCCTGTAATCCCAGCACTTTGGGAGGCCAAGGTGGGCAGATCATGAGGTCCAGAGTTCAAGACCAGCCTGACCAACATTGCGAAACCCCGTCTCTACTAAAAATACAAAAATTAGCCAGGTGCAGTAGCTCACGCCTGTTAATCCCAGCACTTTGGGAGGCTGAGGCAGGAGGATCATCTGAGGTCGGGAGTTCAAGATCAGCCTGACCAACATGAAGAAACTCTGTCTCTACTAAAAATACAAAATTAGCCAGGCGTGGTGGCGCATGCCTATAATCCCAGCTACTCAGAAGGCTGAGGCAGAAGAATCGCTTGAACCCGGGAGGCAGAGGTTGCAGTGAGCCAAGATTGCACCACTGCACTCCAACCTGGGCAACAAGAG